AACACTCCTAGCACTTGGGAGGCCGAGGTGAGTGGGTTGCCTGAACTCACAAGTTTAGGACCAGCCTGAACCAGAGCAAGACACGGTCTCTAAAAATAGCCAGGCATTGTGGTGGGTGCCTATAGTCCTAGCTACTGGGGAGGATGAGGTAATTGCTTGAGCCCAAGAGTCTGAGGTTGCTGTGAGCTGTGACTGCAGAGCACTCTACCAGGGGCAACAAAGTGAGACTCTGCCTCAAAAAAAAAAAAAAAGACCTGTTATTACCAACATATATTTCTCTAATTTGTTATTTTTTATTGTTTTATTTTTTGGAGACAGAGTCTCAGTATGTTGCCCTCGGTAGAGTGCTGTGGCATCACAGCTCACAGCAACCTCAAATTTTTGGACCTAAGTGATTCTGTTGCCTCAGCCTCCCAAGTAGCTGGGACTACAGGTGCCTGCCAGAACATCCAGCTATTTTTTGTTGTAGTTGTCACTGTTGTGTGGCAGGCCCAGGCTGGATTCGAACCTGCCAGCTCAGGTGTTGCGGCTGGTGCCCTGGCCACTGAGCTACAGCCTCTCTAACTTATTTATCAGTTGAGAATCTTCTTTCATTCCTCCCTCAAATGATAGCATGTGTAAGAGACTTCTGCAGCATGTAACATGATGACAAGTATGTGATTATTTAAAAAATGAGTATAACCTATTTCAAACATGCAGAAGAGCATGGAAAGTAATGTATCACCACTGATGTATGTATCCATTAAAAATAGAGTGCTGTCTTGTATGTTCTGAAACCTTATACAAGTGTTATCAGATTGTCCGTATTCTTCTATAACTTACTCCCCCAGCTTTATGTTTTTGAGACTTACCCATATTCATCTATGTAGCTTTGTTTAATTCTCAAAATAACCTTTTCAGTCAGGTAGTATGACCTTTATTTTTCGACGAGGACATTGAGACCCCAAAAGCCGAGCTGTCTTGCCTCTGAGTATAGTTTATAGAGGACAGAGGTGGGATTCAACTCCGAGTAGTCTGACTCAGTAGTGGTGTTGGAGGATGTGGGTGGGGGTGAGAAGTGGGAGGAGTCCACCCAGGAAAGAGGTGGAGAGAAATTTATAATAATCCAGCCAGCTGGCAGTCAGCAGGCTCTGCAGGATGACCATGTTATCAACGATTTCCAGTAAAGCAGTGATGACATTTTTTTCCACTGGGGTAAACCACTCCTTCTCTAATCAGTCTAGACATTGTCACATTGGTAAGTGGTGTCTGAGAGCGGCTGTGGTGCAACTCGGGAGGGAGCTGAACTGAACCAAACCACAGAGAATGACAGAACAAAAAGATGGGAAGAACTGCATCTGTAGGGCGGGCGCGGTGGCTCACGCCTGTAATCCCAGCACTCAGGGAGGCTGAGGCAGGTGGAGTGCCTGCACTCACACGGAGAGACCAGCCTGACCTAGAGTGAGACCTCTTCTCTAAAAACAGCCAGGTGTTGTGGCGGGCGCCTATAATCCCAGCTACTTGGGAGTCTGAGGCAAGAGAACTGCTTGAGTCTAGGAGTTTGAAGTTGTTGTGAGCTATCTACTGTGGGCAACAAAGTGAGACTCTGTCTCAAATAAACAAATAATAATAAAAATAATAATAATCCCAGCTACTTGGGAGTCTGAGGCAAGAGAATTGCTTGAGCCCTGGAGTTTGAAGTTGTTGTGAGCTATCTACTGAGGGCAACTCTACTGGGGGCAACAAAGTGAGACTCTTGTCTCAAATAAGCAATAATAATAAAAATAATAATAATCCCAGCTACTTGGGAGTCTGAGGCAAGAGAATTGCTTGAACCCAGGAGTTTAAAGTTGTTGTGAGCTATCTACTGGGGGTGCTCTACTGGGGGCAACAAAGTGAGACTCCGTCTCAAATAAACAAACAAATAATAATAATAAAAGAACTGCTTTGGTTTTTAATTCTGTTGTTGTTGTTAATACAGGTTGAGCATCCCTAATCTAAAAATCTGAAATCTGAAATACTTCTGGTCCCAGGCATTTTGGATAAGGGATACTCAACCTGTATTGGGGTAAAATATACATGACGTAATTGATCAATTGTGATCAATACATGTGTAAGTGTCCAACTCAGCAGCATTTAGTATATGCACAATGTGGTGCAGCATCACCACTAACCATGCCCAGAACTCCCTCATCACCCCAAACAGAAGCTCTGTTCCCATTAAACATTAACTCACATCCATCCCTCCTGCCAGCCCTGGAACCTCTGTTCTTTGTGTCCGTGAATTTGCCTCATATTGGTAGAATCACACAATACTCTTCCTTGTGTGTCTGGATTATTTTACTTAGCATAATGGTTATGAGGTTCATCCATGTTGTAACGTAGCAGAATTTTATTCCTTTTTAAGACCGAATATATTCCATATATATAAGAATCTACATTTTCCATGATAACTTTGAACCACCCTGGGGAGATCTCTTATTAATAACTTTGTCTCATGGTATAGGCCACATAGTGTGGGAGTACTTAAAACGTCAGCGCCCCAGCCTGTGGCAAAGTTCCCAGAATTTCCGTGTGTGTGTGTGTGTGTGTGTGTGTATCTCTGTATGTCTCTGTACAAACATTAAGCCCACACCTTACCTTTTTTCATGCTCAGTTTAGCTATTCTAACCACCCCTTGTTTTTTTTTTTTTGTTGTTGTTTGTTTGTTTTTTGGCTGGGGCTGGGTTTGAACCTGCCACCTCCAGCATATGGGGCCAGTGCCCTACCCTTTTGAGCCACAGGTGCCGCCCAGTTTTTTGGTGTTTTTGAGACCCAGTCTCACTTTTTTGCCCTGCGTAGAGGTTTGCCTCCCTCAAACTCTTGGGATCAAATGATCCTCTGTCTCAGCCTCCCAAGTAGCTGGGACTACAGGTGCTCACCACAACACCCAGCTATTTTTTAGAGACAGGGTCTCACTCTTGCTCATGCTGGTCTTGAACTTGTGAGCCCAAGCAATCCACTCAATTCCCATAGTGCTAGGAATACAGGTGTAAGCTACCGTGACTGACTTACAATCCCTTATTACAACTGTTAATTTCAACATGTACAGTTATTCAGTACCTAACATTTTTCTTTACCATAAAAACAACATTGAACTCCAAATTGGGTAAGACATCATTCCTGGTATCTATAGAGGAGAACAAATTGATGCTTCTTTTCAAAACACTTTTCCACAGTCTTCTGGAGTTAGAAATAATCAAGTTTAGTCAAGGGTAAAGAATAAAAACATTTATTTAAAAAATACTATCTAGCATCAATTGTCCCGAGTTTGGCAGGCATGAAGGGATGTGGGCGGTTAATGTTTTATTAGTGTGTAAAGTTTGAGATACAGGGAGCATTACGGCAAAAAAAAAAGGGGGGGTATTTATTATTAAAACTGAAAAAGAAAAGTGAGTAGTAAGCTACTATAGGGACATTAAGGTTCAGAAAAAATCAAGATGCAATGAAAATAATCTTCTCCTCTAATAAGAACTAACAGGATAGGAGGGTTGACTGACTTCTACCATCTTCATAGGAATTTTGGTTCATGACTATGAAGAAGTGAATTACAAAAAGATGTGAGCAGACCCCAAAGGGGTAGAAAGGGAAGAGGGGATCAGAAGAAAAAGAAGTTAGGAGAATACTGTTACCCAAGTGTCCCTATTAAAAAGTGTATTTTTAAAAAACGTCAGTAAGCATGTATAATAATTATTTTCTGTGACTTTAAAAGTGTAGTGACAGCATTAGAAATCAATGATACTATCAATATGCAAATATAGCCTTTTGTGGTGGGCATATATAAAAGCCCTCTGCAACCATTATAGATCACATTATAAAATTCTAACTTTTTTCTTGTTCCCTTTTCTGGTTCCTAGTTTTTCCATCCCGGGAGAGGACAAAGGCCTTTACAGATCATCAATCCAACTTTCCTTTCACAGATAAAGAAGGGTAAATGGCTTGACTGTGGGCGTTCTAAGTAGCAGAGGCTGGACTCCAACCAGGTCTTGTGACCCCCAAAAGTGTTTTCTCATTACAATGTGATGTGCCTCACCCTGTACCCCATCTCTGATCTGGCCTCCAATCTGGCCTCGGTGATGCCCCCTCAGTCTCAGAAGGGCTGAAAGGGGAAGGGGCCTCTCTAGCTTGCTATGAGCATGGGGCCCTAGGAGAGGAGGTGACAAGACACATCTCCTACTTCTAACTCAGGTCCTTAAAAACAATCCGCAATTCATACATGCACACACAGAGCCAGGCCCTGGGAACACCTAGATGAGAACTATTTCCTGAGTAGAGCATTGTGTGTGAGTAAAACTTTTTAAAGAGAGGTAATTGGTTTTAAAGGAGAACATCTGGCCAATTACATGCAATCATACACCTCCTAAACTCTGCAAATAAAGCCCTGATTGCAGATAATGACTAATTCAGAGAGCCTCAGGCCCCAGAGGGCATCTCAACCACTCCATGGAGTCTCCAACTCCCACATTATCAAATGAGCCATGAATCAATGGTGGGAAATGACTCCTAATATGCAAATTTCAGCAGAAAGGGAAACACATTTGACTGGATTCTTTGAAAAGTTGCACCACTCTCCCCTCTGTTTCTGACTTTCTGTGCAGAAGCACTCAACATTCTAAATGTTCTATTCTGGCGGTTCGTATTTCTGGGGCATAGTACCCAGAATGCTTTACATTCAGGAGAGGAGCCTCACCAGAGCCTGGTGTCAGATCTCCCAGGCCCATTTCTTCCATGGGCCATCTGAGAAAAAATTCAGAGAATAAAAGTGTCACATGTTCAAATGTCTGTCATATAAGTTTTCGTTCAAGTTCAATACAAGGAATGTGAATTGAGAATTCCTTTCCCATATCCCTGAACTAAGAAGATCATGATAGAAAAGTTCTTGAAACTCTGACAGTCTTACGTGTATTGAAACATCAGAAAGTACCACGATTCTATAGATTTTCCTGCAGAGATTTGTTTTTCTTGTGCTTGGTGGCTCTGTTAGGACAAGGCTCTCTTTCATTTAAGCATTTCCTAGGAATTTCTTTCAAGTGAAGATCAATCATTTGGTTTATGAAACAGGACCTAGTCATGAATTATAGGTTTCATTTCAGGCCATAAATTGTCTCTGTACCATATTTCTCGACTCTTTCCATATGGTTTGTTGTGTCTTATACACAGATTCCTGAAAGATTCTCTCTACTTGTGTAGGAAAGCCGCGGCTTTCTTCCTCTAAGGCATTGATGGTCTGGAGAGCGAAGGGCGTCCTCTCCCGGGGAAGGGGGTTGTTCAGGGGCCGCATGGGTATGACAGAGTTGTATTTGTGCTGCCTGTTAACGGAGTTCATCAGCGACGTGTAAAACTGAAAGTTACACCAGGTATCTCTTAAAAAGTTTTCCGTCAGCAGCAAGATGGTCCACGCAGACCCGTTGACAGCGTCGTCTAAATTCTGCAAATGCTGTCTGCCGCAGGGCATCTCAGCAAAGATTATCCCTGGCTTGATACCAAAGTCATTTTGTAGCAGGTCCTGGACTCTGAGGGCTTCACCTGTGTCATCTTCGGCGTGCAGTATCACGAATTTGAGGAACACCTCTTCTTCAGCCTCGTCTGCAGGCGTCCCTTCCACTCTCGAAGCTCCCTCCTGCTTCCCTGGGGGCTGCTCGGTTGCACTGCCACGCTCAGCGGCATCACACAGGGAGACGTCTTCAGGTTTCTTGGAAGCTGACTCAGGGTGCCCTCGACTGGCGTCCACGCTGGGGCTTTTACTCCAAGAGAGAGAAAGAGGGCAGGAATGTATTTTAGACTTCCCGGTACCCATTATAAATATCCAAGGGAAAGCTTTATTTATTTCTCAGCATTTCTTTTCAATCTAAAAAAAGAAACAATACAGCAGAAGAATATTGTAAATTTAATCAAAAGATAAAAATGCAAACGTTCATTCAATTTAGAAAGCTTAGAAAGATTTTATTTTATTTTATTTTAGAAACAGGAGCCTCCAGCTGTCCCCCTTGGTAGAGTGCTGTGGCATCACAGCTCACAGCAACCTCCAACTCCTGGGCGCAAACGAGGCTCCTGCCTCAGCTTCCCAAGTAGCTGGGACCACAGGCCGGCCCGGCTGTTTTTTGGTTGCAGCCGTCATTGTTGTTTGGTGGGCCAGGCTGGATTCAAACCCACCACCTTAGGTGTATGTGGCTGGCACCTTAGCCGCTTGAGCCACAGGCGCCGAGCCAAAAAGATTTTAATATACAGGTCCTAAGAGGTAAATGATAAACGGATCACTAGGAAACTAAACTACTAATCATTCTGAGCTTCACAAGGGCTACCACAGGCAATTAAGAGTCACTTAAACAGGGTCTGCTTCTGTATAACAGGAGACATTTAGAAATTTTCAGTGGTATCATATTGGCACTATAAACTTCCAGGTTAATATTAATTATTTTGGTATTTTACTGAAAAGGTAACATACTATTCTATCCTTAAGGAATTTAAATCCAATTTCTCCATTATCAAATGTAATGTAAACTAGAAACAAGAAGATCTAAAAAAAAAAAAAAAACCCAAATATTTAAATATTAAATATAATTTTTTTTCTGTATTAAACACAAATACAAAATAGAACACAGATACCCAAAAGATGTCTGGCAGGGTCCCCTGACTCAGCATGAAGAGATTTGAAAAGTCAAATGAAGCAATGTCAAGGATTCACTGAGACAGAGGTTTTTTGTTTGTCTGGGGTCAGGCACTGCTGTGATGGTGAAGCCGATGGAGAAAAAATAATAAGGATCTGTGAAAAGGGATATGTTTTCCTAACTAATCCTGCTAATCCTGAAATACTGAAGAAAATACATTGATTTACCTAAGGAAAACTTAACATCTTGGCTTGTAAGTGATGTCTAGAAACAGCGGCTTGAGATTTTCTCCAATGAGATCAACAATGACTGATACAGTGCAGACTCATTCTTTTCTTTCAAAAAATTCTACATTCAGAGAGGAAGAATTAGATCAAGTATGAAAGAACAGTATGTGAATCTGATTTAAATAATCCTTCAGAAAGTGTTTATACTGTTGATAATAATAACATCCCCCCAAATAAGAAGTTTCAAGGGGGATTCTTTTATCAAAAGACAGAAAATTCACAACAGATAAATATAGGTTCCATGTTTTCAAATATGGTCCACAGGCTATAATCTAGAGCATTTTTATTTATTGCTTATGTACAAAGACCAGAGTTCAACAAGAAATTATAATTATGTTCATAATAATGTAAGTTGCATAGTTACATGTGCCTAAATCCAGTTTAGAAGAAATCATTCAACAAAAGTGGTAAAGACTGTAATGGGGAGAGGAGAGGAAGAAGAAAGGGGAGAGGAGGGGAGGGGAAGGGAGAGGAGGGGAGAAGAGGGGAGGGGAAAAAACACATAGAAATTTTCACTTTAACGTATATAAGGAGTAAAAAGTTTGCAGCTGCCTCTGCCTAGTGAAGAAATTGCTGACCACTGGGTCTCATTCTTATGTCTACACTTTAGGTTCTGGCTCCACGGTATATCGTGCTAGTTACCAAAAGGTATTCTAGTTCTAAAATACAACAAAACATACATCAGAAATAATAAAACCAAATTAACTTGGACTCTCTTCATTGGGTGAGATTCTGTTACTACATTATACAAAAAAGGTTTTGCTGGGCAAAGTTGCAGAAAGAAGCTTCCCCTGCATAAGGAAACAGCTGTTAGACCATTCAGAGGCATCTGTTTATTGTGTCAATTAAAATGATACCTACTTACCATCGAAATAGTTCTGTTATACTGATTAATGCCATTCTTATAAGCAATAGCTGGTGCAGACAAGTATACTTGAAGAAATATTCAGCAGATATTCATAAAGGAATATTTGGCAGATATTCATGAATAGTATCAAAAATCTCTAGGGTAAAATGGTGTGTCAAGTCAGATCACAAAATCCTTTGAAATAAAAATGAACAAAAATAAAAAGAGAATTACAATTTTGACTTATTTTTCTCAAGTACCAAAAAAGAATAAAAGAATAAAAGTTAGCAAAAAAAGAGTAAAAGACTTCAGAAACCTGTGCTGTGCTGTTTCCAGGAAAATTTATTTCCATTTTTCAAAAAAGGTGTCATCGTTCACATATATCTACAGAGATGCCATATTTATGTTAAATAAATATGGTATTTTGTTATGTTATTTCCAGTTCCAAGCAGTCTTACCCACTGAAAGAAAGTAACAATGTCTGGAAAACTTCATTGTAACTTTCTAACTTCAAAGGAGCAAGTAAGGAAATTGCCAAGGAAAAAGATGTGGAACCCTGTACCGTTCTCACCACGGCTGTGATTTAGCCCTGGGAAGGTCAGGATGCATCACCGTGGTTCTTGAGGCTGGGAGGAGGTAAGAGGACCTAACTGGGCTCACTGTGTGTGAACGACATCAGTCAAGAGGCCTCTGCAACAGAACAAAAACAGGGGATGTTGCAGGAAATTGGCAGGCTTGCAAAAGAATCTTGGAAAGCCTCCTTAAAGCTAACCTCCTGTACCTGGGTCACCTCCTGTACCTGGGCTAAATGGGAGCAGAGTGAAGGTGGCAGCCAGGGAGAGGCACATGAGATCACTGCTCACAGAAATGAGAATGTGTGTGTATACACATCTTTCATGTACTTTTTACAAAACGTGGTGGATGAAACACGCACTGGCTTTGAAAAATGTGGATATTGAAAAGTCTCACTCTCGCCTTCACCCCCATCCATCCTGTTACTTACCCCACAGCCTCCGACTGGTGACCAATTTCACTAGTTTCTCCTATATCCCTTCACTATTTACAAGTATATATTTTTGTTTCCATTTTTCAAAAAAGGTGTCATCATTCACATATATCTACAGAAATGCCATATTTATGTTAAACAGTAATAGATAAACACTGCCTTTTCCCTTAACATTGGACCTTCAGAGTTTTCCATTATCAGCATATAGAGAATTTCCTCTTACTCACAACTCCATAATGGTCTGGCATATGGATATTTCATAGTCATTCCCTGTTCTTGGATATGTGAGCTGTTTCCAGTTTACTGTTACAACTGTGCTGCAGTGAGTAATTTTGTACAAGTCATTCCATATGTGTGCAAGTTTATTGATAGAATAATCTCCCCAAATGGGACTGCTAATAAGGCCAGATTTCACTGAATTGCCCTCTGTAGGGCTGAGTCTGTTTTTTGCTTTTAATTTGATAGAAGGACCCCACAACTCTATTCCTTCCCCCAGCAAAGACGTAAGACCAAAGCTACCAATTGCTGTTGACCTAACCATATCTGTCCCTTTGGGCAACTGAAATGGGGAAAAACATAACTAATCAGAATGGTGCCCTTGACCTGAAGTTCTGAAGGGAAGATCAATAGGTCTGAGATGAGAAGGAAGGAGAGTCCAGAATTTATCTACTTTATATCTAAGCAAAAGAGGACTCCAACAGAACTCTCCATGTTAAAGAGGAGTGAAAGGGGTGAAAAGAAAACAAGGCAAATACAGCATGGTGAGTACCCAAAACCAGTTCAGGAAGTATAAAAACAGAGAGAGAGGAATCACAGCATGCAAAAGGCAAATTCCATTTCATGAAGACTATGCACTCTGGAATCAGACTGAGCATATGGCCCAGTCCTGCTGTATCACAACTGTGTGGCTTTGTGTAAGTTATTCAATATGCTCGTGCTTTGATTGCATCATCTATAAAATTCTTAGAGTACCTACCTTTGGGGGTTTTATGCATATAATACGTGTTCAATAAATGTTAGCAACTATTTTTGTTGCTAAATACATACCAAGGAGTTAAAGAAAGTTTTGTACAACAGTTTATGTTCTTAGTGATACTCAGAGTATATCCATGAACCTGTTGGTAGTCTCTGAACTGTTAGCAGTCGATAAAGAGGTAAGCAGATTATGCAAGGACATAAATATAAATCAGCTACATCAGTAAGAATGTGATTTAGTTCATCTGACATTTTCTTTTTTAATAGCAAGACACTCTCAATGAAAGAAGCAGCCTAGGGTGGTGCCTGTGGCTCAGTGGGTAGGGCGTCGGCCCCATATACCGAGGGTGGTGGGTTCAAACTTGGCCCGGCCGAACTGCAACAAAAAAATAGCTGGGCGTTGTGGCAGGTGCCTGTAGTCCCAGCTACTCAGGAGGCTGAGGTAGGAGAATCACCTAAGCCCAGGAGTTGGCTGTGAGCAGGGTGACACCACAACACTCTACCAAGGGCAATACAGTAAGACTCTGTCTCTACAAAAAAAAAAAAGAAAGAAAGAAAAAGAAAGAAAGAAAGAAGCAGCATACTTTACATTCTGGTGCATGCATCTTAAATAATAATGGACAAACACTTGAGTAACATTTCTCTATGAGACACTAAAGAAAATTTATAATCAATGGAACAAAAATATCAAAGATAAGATAATTAGATAAAAAGGGAGGCTGTATATAAATCAAGGTTCCAAACACTATTAGAAAAAAATAGAAATAGCAAAGAAAGGAATAGACGTGACTCAAAGCCAAATCAATTAAACATGGTGGAGAGGCTTGAGAAAATCCCAGAATATGGAAAGAAAAAAAAGACAATGAAAATAAAGACATTTGGAAAAATACATAGCTATGGAGATAAAAAGCAACCAATGTAATGGAAACTAATGCACCTGAAATAGAAAAATCCAATGAATGTAACAAAAAGATTCAAGATCTAATGATTCACCAGCCTAATTGAGATGATCAGTCTAAGTGCTTCTGGAAAAATAGACATTATAATTGCATCATCCTGATACAATTTAATATGATGTACAAAGTGTAATGTGTGAAGTATTCTTGCCACAAATGTTGAATTTGACTCTAGTCTTTAGATATAACTGCCAAGTTATAGAGAATAAAGGGACAAGAAAAAATGCCAAGATATGAATGGAGAAAAAATTGTGATATATCCATATCATGGAATACTACTCATCAATAGAAGAAATGAGCTATTAATATATGCCATAATACAGATGAATCTCAAAATAGTTATGTTGTGTGAAGGAAGCCAGACCCCCTACAAAAAGAGTACATATCTCAGGATTTCATTTATATTAAAATCCAGAGAATAAAAACTGACCTACAGTGACTGACAGCATTTCTTTAGAATTGCTTAGGAGGCAGCCGATCACTTCTCTTACTTGTAGCATTCATTCTTTGTATGACATGGTTAAGAAATTATTTGTCCTTTATTTTTAAAATCCATTTTACTTACATAGCTGAGTTCTACTGTGGTTTTCCTGAATTCCAAAATTCAGATGCTCTCTCACTGACACTTTGTTCCAGCATATCAATTCCATTGAATGAGGTTTTATAATTTGAATATATGCTGAGGTTAGATCTAAAAAAAAATGCAAGCAAGGCCATAAAAAGGTAGCTTATTTTTCTTAGGAGTGAAAGAAAACCATCTAGTTGATAATTAGTACCAAAAAAGGTACCATTTTGAATTCATTCATTCAACAAATACAGTATTTATTGATCATCTAGAAAGCGCTAGATGTTGAAGTTTTTCTGAATACAACAGAAAAAGATACTTGCCATAATGGAGCTTAAATTCTAGTGGGGGTAGATAGAAAATAAAAAGGAAGTATGTATGTTATATAGCATATAATAATTATCCATCTATACATACACACTCCTATAGTGTCAAGAAGGTATTAAGTGCTATGGAAAAAACAAAGCAGAACAGTTAATAGAAACTACTGGATGAAAATTTTGTTTCTTTTTAAATAAGCTTGTTAGGGAATAAGAAATGACATTTGAATAAAGATATCAGTGAGGAAGTAGCCAGTGGGCTTCTCTGGAGGAAGTCCATGCCTGGCAGAGGATCCCAAGCACACAGGCGCTGAGACTGGAGACTATCTGTAGCAGGTGTTGGTGGCACAGTGGCCAGTAGGGGTGCA